TTTTCAATAATTCTATATGAGCTTACCAAAATGATTGATTAAGAGTTTTACCTATTTAGCCATTTATAGAATCAGGATATAGGGTACAATACATCCTTTTGATTTTAGCATTAAGGATAAATAATTTAGTAATCGACTATTTTTGTATGATTAGAACAATAGCAAGTTAATTTTTTGTTGATTTAATAATTAATGGATAATTTAAAAAAAAAATTATAAACTCAAATATTCTGGCCAACCGGCCGGGCACATGCTAGTTACAATAATAACAAGATAATATTTACATCCGGCATTCATTTTGACGAAAAAGCGTCAAATCACTAAGAAGTATTAGTCCTCTTATAAAGTTGCAATTAAAGTTATTAACGAAATGACTATTTTAGTGTATTTTTCAAAAAAATTACTATTATTGTCAAAACGTGGATAGTTATAATTATGTAGGTGTACTTTACCTAATAATTATTTTCAAAATTGGCATCAATTAACTGCCCGACCAAATTTGATACTTACAGGCCAATGAGCACTTCTACTATGCTATAAAGTATTTATACTTTAATGTACAACTTAAAGTTGTACCATAATGTTAAATGTATAACTTAAAGTTGTATCATAAAAGAATTTGTACCCGTATGTTATGGTACAACTTTATAACTTAAAGTTGCACCATCACATCAAGGTACAAGTTTAAGTTGTACCATAAAAGAATTTGTACAAAAGAGTATATGTACAATCTAAAGTTGTACCATAACGTTAAAGGTACAACTTCAAGTTGTACCATAAAGACAAACAGTTATAGCACCAATGCTATATAGCATTGTAAATTCCTCACAGGCCAATAGCTTGTAGATTATCCAAAAATGGTCTCCGCCAATGCGCCATTTATTCACAATCCAAATTGGAATAGGAGGCAAAATATATGACCTCCATGATTTCAAATTCAGCCTCTATATCAAGGTTTTCAAACCGGTTTTAAGTCATTGAGCCGGTCAAGTAAGGGATTTGAGGTTTAATGGTCTGGTCGGGGTCCGATCGGTTTGAATCGTTTTAGGCATTTTCTAAATATACATACATATAAGGTAGTAATTAAAGATTTAATGACTGAAATAAAATATATCTTACATATATCTATTAAAAACTTATTTTACACAAAATAAATCTACCTAACCTTCATGACCCACCCACCATCTCTCTTTCTTCGTTGCTCTTCCTCTCTCCCTCTTCTCTTCTTCTCCCTCTTTAAGGGTCAGACCGGGGGGCTTTCTGGAGGCCGTTTTGAAGCTCGACTCGGATCGGACCAGTTCCAACCGGGGTTCAATAAGGGTTTAACAACCTTGCTCTATATAGTATATAGAGCTCAAGGGCCTACGTCGTCCCCTACACAAGACCCAAGGCACATATAAAATCTTGAGACCCTATCTCACATTCAAAGAGCTACTTTTCAAAATATGGGCAGCAAATTAGCTTCTATGGTTGTTGCAATTACTAAAAAGGCTGTTAGAAACTATAGGAGTCAATCGGGCGGGTTCGGTTCGGGTTCAATTGGGTTGCTAATTAATTGGCTTTGGTTTTGTTGGGTTGCGGGTTCATCAGTTCGGGTTCAATTGGGTTCGGATTCAATCGGGTTGTGGGTTCATCGGGATCGGGGTCAACCTGGTTGCGGGTTCATAGAGTTTCAGGTCGGGTTGCAGGTAGATCGGGTTGCGGGTTGTACGGGACAGCGCATCGAGTTACTTACTCCTTACTCACTACCAACTTACACATTTTATTACACTAATTTAAAATATTTTTCACAACTTTTGACCAACTTATTTCTACCTCATATATATACACTTAATTAAAAAAAAATAGTCAAAATGTTGAATCAATTTGTATGAATTGCAAACTTGTCATGTAACTAATCAACATTTGCAACTAATAGACATTATTAGCAATCCAAATAAAACATCACTCTAAAAACAAAGAAGAAAAACACTTTTCTTATCTCAACATTTTTCGGTGGAAATATAGATTAATCCAAACGAAAATTGGGCGCCAATATAAATCAATCCAAACGAAAATTGGGCGGCCTTTTGGAGAGGGAATGAAGAAGTTGGGCGACAATATATATCAAGCAAAAAGAAAATTAGGCAGCAATGCAACGGGAAGCAAAATTGAGTAACAAAAAAAAACATGAATTATATATAAAATAAATTACAAGCTTAATTCTCAATGAAGTATAAAATTTTTGTTTAACATAAAAATATATTAAAGGTTCATGGAAATTTTTTGCCAGTCGTTGTCAATCAATAATCATAATTTATATTCATATGCGAAATCTAGACAAGACACTAAATTATAAACAACAATTTATAGGAGATGGAAATCGGGCTTATTATTAAACGAATTGAAACGTTGATGGGTCGAATTGGGAGGGATTTTCCTCATTATATTTTCATTTTGGTAGGGACAAATTGTAGAGAGAAAGCAAAATGAGAAGAACGAAAAGTGGGGAGGAAAACATTGGAGAAGTGAAAAGTTGGGACGAAGATATCAAAATGAAAGGGGAAAGCTTCCCACCTAAATGAAAATTAGGTGAGAGAATTAGTGAGTAAGATTAAGTTTCCAATTTGCTATATCAAATTAGTCATGCTTATAAGCTATAGTAAGGTTTGTTATAGAGTATAGACAATATTTTAGACACTAAATGTTACACTCCTAAATCATCATATGTAAACATTGTGATAATCAAATCGATAATTAATTAAACTCGTAAAGCATCATATGTAAACATTGTGTTAAGCTTTCTCTCTTCTTTCTCTTTAAAAATTGAAAATACAAAATTTTCCCCTTATTTTTCTTTCCATAAATCAAAAATATCAAAATTTTCCACCCTTTTCTCTTCCTATAAATCAAAAAGCCCCAAATCTTCCTCTTCTTTTTTCCTCAAAACATTGAAAACATTAAATTTCCCACTTCTTTCTCTTCCTATAAACCAAAGCACCAAAATTCCCCACTCTTTCTTTCCGCAAAACTTGAAGCACCAAATTTTCCTCTTCTTTTTCTCTAAAAAGTTGAAAACACCAATATTCAAACACTAAGAAGAGGGAAGTAGTCTTGGATGTAATCTTGACTGTATCAAGGTTCTCGAGCATGTAATCTTGGAGGACTTCAAAGAATTTTTTAATTCTCCCATGAAGAAATAGAAAGTACATTCACATCCATTCTAGACTCCTTAAATATACAAGTGAGGGGATGGTTGGATTTTCGAACCATCTTTGGTTGGAAACTAATATGAAAGACTATGTCTAGCTCAAAGTCGTAAAAAAAGAGTGCTCTATGAAAGGCAATCCATGTATGACGTTCAAGTTAAGGAAGAAAAAGTAATACCAGAAAAAATAATTCTAATTTCTTTTCCTTTTGATATTTCATTCTACGAATCTTTTATAATTATGGGAAATTTTTTGTATGCATTTATAACATATTTGAATCTTGTAATAAGTCGGAGATTGTATTCTTTATAGGACCAACCATGTAATATGTCGAGCTGCTACTGCTTAATTGTTGTTTCTGATGAAATTTCCCTGTGCATTTCCTCGAAAACACCACCTTTTCTAAGCATGTATAATTTTCAAAAATCTTTATATATTTCATGTTTATAACTTCCAAAAATCTTTATATATGTCATGTTTATATTTCAAAAATCTTTATTCAACTATGGTGTTATGAATACCCACAAATAGTGTAAAATATTCCTCCCTTATTTGGTCCAAAATTTTGGTTTTACCCGAAATTGGACCGTATAACCCGGTCCGAGACTGGATAACAAACAATCCAATCCCATTTTCGACTTAGATTTGTAGTAAAAAAATCGTTTGGGACCGGACCGAAAACTGGATAAAGACCGGATAAGAGAGCCCTACACCCAAAATTTAACCAACTCCTCACCTTTTCGAGTAACCAAAATCGAAAACTCTCTAATCGATTTTGGGTTCGATTTTTAAAGGATAACGAGTTCCGGTTTTGTGGGTTTTGATTCGGTTACCCGAACCGAACCGCCAGCCCAACATCCAACCCCTTCAAGAAACACAAAATAGTTATTGCTATAATGTGAAACTAAACCATGAAGATATTAAGTAACCAGATGCTGAAATGTACAAAGCACATAGATTTTCTATATATTATTCTTGTTCCTCTAGTATTAGATATCAAACCGAAAATAGTTGTTTTGATTATAAATAGAGTTCAGCGGACGAAAGTAATATGCGGCAAACTTCGATTAAGGGATGATGACATTCTCAATTTAATTCACCAATCCATTAAAAATATCCACCTAATCCAATCCATTTAAATTCAATCAATTTGATCCAAATCCAATTGGATTGGTAGATTCATAGATTGATCCATCCATGGATCCAAATGGCAAATTACGGTTTAGTATTTGTAATTTTTATATTTTACATTTTGGTACCCAAAATTTAATTTTTTATACGAAAAATATCATTGGAAAATTACGTTTTGGTACCTAAAATTACTCATTATGACATTTTAGTACCTAAAATTTTCACATTTTACATATTGATCCTTAGTTGAGGATGTCATTTGGATTCATGGATAAATCCACCAATCTATTGGATCCATGAATCCACATATCCAATCCACCAATCCATTGATGAATTTGCCACCTCTAATGCCAACTATCTCAGCCCGGAGGGTTGATTCGGGAAATGGAGAGATGAAGGGTATGGATTTTGAAAGAGAGGAAATCGAGAAGTTTCTGTGCTATGGAATGAGTTTTATGGTTGGATAGAGTTAGTTTTTTGTCATTGAATTTACTTTTACAATTTGGAGAAATAAATAAAATTTTGTAGATGTGGAGGACACATTGGCATCCAGAAGAGCAAATTGTGTTTAGTCACTAACGAAAAATGAATTGATCGTTAGTATTGACGGTCAATTATACAATTCAACAAAGTTGTTTATTATTCTCAAAGTTGAGGTATTGTTTTATTATTGAAAGTTTGACTAAAATTGTCTATTTATACAAATATGAGGCATATAATAGTGCATTCAGCCTACTCATGAATATGAAAATCAATAGCAGTTGGAAAACCTTGATTGGGGATGGTTGAATACCTTATTACATGAGTAGAAATCAGTACAAAAACATTATTAGGTTGTTCATCTTGTTCAATGAAACCCCAATTATCAACAGACTCAAAACAACAATAGCTTGAGAAACATCAGATTCTCTACCTTTCTCTCCCTCTCTTCGTCCCTCCCACGCAAACAAACAACACACACAAAAAAAGGTTAAAAAGGAAAAAAGTATGTAAAACCTACACAAGAATAGGGAAACCCAAACAGGACGGCGTCGTAGCTCACAAACGTTAATCCCTCCTCGTAAATGAAAATCCCATCAAGCCATCTCAACCTGCCCGCCGGCGCCGGCTGACTTGGTCGACTGCGGAATCTCCTGATCGGCGGCGTAAAATGAGTTGTGCCTGGACTGGTACTTCTCTCCGTCTCCCCACAACGCGTAAGCCTCCTCCCCATGGATTGCATCGTCGCCGGTGCTTAGCTGCTCCTCCGACAACCTCAACGGAACCACCAACTTAATCACCACGCAAATGATACTGGTCATGATGACGTTGGTGAATACCACAAAGAGTATCCCGAGGAGCTGAACACCCAACTGCTTGAACCCGGCGCCAGCACGGTTGTTGTGGAAGCCGTTGAGCAGGCCGATGTAGTGCTCCCACTCGGGGACAAGGTAGAAGATCCGACACAGCTTGGGCTCGGCGAAGATTCCGGTGAGGATACCTCCGAGGCTTCCTGCGATGGCGTGGGTGTGAAAGATGGCCATGGTGTCGTCGACGTGCTTTAGGAATGAAATCTTCTTGTGGAGCACCATCATTGTGTACCATGGGATGCTTCCTGACAGCATCCCCATTATTATTGCTGCCCATCCTTGCACTACTCCTGCATTGTAAGAAAATAGACTGGTTGGTAAGACTTTATCCGCCACTGTTAGCATTTCTAGTTCTTACTATAAGAACCAGTTGATCCCAATAACTCGAGTTGTTGGGAGAAGGTTATACTAGATCTTATACCACACTCTTACACTTACAAAATTCTATTGTTGGGAATGAAAATGCATTTTTACCAGCGGCCGGAGTGATGCAGACGAGGCCGGTGATCATCCCCTGGATGGCTCCAATGACGGAGGGCTTACCGAAGAAGATAATGTCGAGTAGTAGCCACACCAGCAAGCTCGTCGCCGTGCAGACGTGGGTGTTGAGCACGGCAAGAGAAGCATCGACACTGACGGTGTAGGGATCTCCTCCGTTGAATCCGGTCCAACCCATCCACAAGAGACCCGCTCCGGCCAGCATGAGGAGGATGTTGTTGGGCGGGAACCTCTCTCTATCCTTGTTCGTCCTAGGGCCAACCTGCCATGAAGTTTCATAAACAAAAATCAATCTTACTTAGCTACCTGTATTTTCCTAATCATAAATATCGTAAAGACTAGTATACTCTACGAGTAGATTATACTGCATGTGATATGGTCATTAGATGTACCAATCTGAACGATCATTCATTGTTTTTATTAAATTGAACTTCGGGGTTTGGGTTTAAAGAGTTCAGACGAGAGTTTATCCATTACAGATTATAATACGGTAACATACTCTCACATTCGAGCTAAGACTAAATCAGGAAAGAAAAATGTATGCCCTCAGCGTGGGTCAGTCCGCCTATCAATCACGAGGGTCTGAAAGTTACGAGAAGTCCTATCCAGCGCCTGGATTCAAGCGAGAAAGTTTCGTTGTTCGTTCTCCGTCATCGACCCTATCTAACAACAAATCGGTTTAACTCGCGATCTAAATAGAGATATTTCATTAAGAGTACCAAGCGTATATAACGGTTTATATAAAGAATTCATTTGACGATATGCTTGCTTGGGTATATATAAACATACGTACCCAGAAAGCGGCGGTGAAACCAGCGACGCCGGAGGAGAGGTGAATGACGTAACCGCCGGAGTAATCGATGATGCCCTTTTTGTAGAGCCAGCCGGTGGGACACCAGATGCTGTAAGCGGTGATGGTGTACGAGAAAGTGAGCCAGAGGGGGACGAAGATCATCCAAGCATGGAAATTCATCCTCCCCAGGAGAGCTCCGGCGATGAGGATAAGGGTGATGGCAGCGAAAACGAACTGGAAGTAGACCATGGTGGCATTGGGAAGGTAACCAACGAAAGTCCTGCGGAGGAGGAACTTCTGGTCGAGGGCGACGTCCGGCTGGCCGAGGAAAGGGATGAATTTGTCGCCGAAGGCCATCTGGTAGCCCCACCCGATCCAGCAGATGAGGACGGCGGCGAAGGCGTAGAGGGCCATGAAGGCCGAATTGACGGCCCACTTCTTCTTCACTATGCTGCCGTAGAGGATGACGAGGCCGGGGACGCTCTGCATCCCGACGAGGGTTGCGGCGGTGAGCTGCCATGCGTTGTCGCCTTTGTTCAGCCAGTCTGGGCTTCCCTCGTCGGTCGCAAGGTTCAAGGGGAGCGCCATGTTTTTTGTTTGTTGGGTGGGAAAGATGAGAGAATCGAGGGGGTGATGGAAGGGAAGAAACAGAGGACTCTGTTTTTATAAGGTGGCGAGAGAGAATGTGTTTGGCGGAGTGTGCTGTGTTTAATTTTGGCAGAGTTTTGGTTTTGGTTTTGGGCGGAGAGTGCTGTGTTGGCAGCTGTGACATATTTCCCTTGAGGAAAGCTTGTTAATTTTAATCTTCTTTTGCTATGCGTCTCGAGGAATCTGTGTCTTGGAAACTCTGGGGCAACAACAATGCATCTCTCCCCCGTGTTTCTCTCTATTTCTTCTTCTTATTATTATTACTGTTTATTGTTTAAGCTACTAAGGTTGTATTCCTCGGGGCCTGGATATTACTGCACTTCTAAGAATTATGCACTTATCTAGCCGCACAATTAAGCTTGTCTAAAGCTAAATAAACAAGAGTTTAAGCTTCGAAATAATACGTGTTTTCGGTAATACCAAAAATAGACAATTCGGTACGGTATTCGGTATATACCAAATACCGGTACCAAACTTTCAACCCTACCTCTAGCAATAAGTTGACATGAGTTATGTTGATGCAAATCAATGAAGGCTTCTATATCTTCAAAATTGCAAGAAATCACCTATACTAAAACTTAAGTCAATGGTCATATACTTAATTACTCTTCTAGGTGGATAGGCTGGCTCAATAGTCATGTAACCAAGTAGATACCTATATCATTAGCTTCATACTCCCTAGTATAAAGCTAACGAGACTAAAACTCAATGTTTATGCAATTATAACCTCAGTACCTCACTGTATTGATTGATGTTCTAATCTTCACGTAATTGGATGGTCTCTCTCTTAGGTTAAGAACACGAAATCCAAGTACTCAACAAAAGCATAAGGAAATCATGATAAACCATCAATATCCATATGTGTATTGGGTTGGGTTACCCAAATAGACTCATATATATGATTAATAATCTCAATCCCCTCATTCGCATTTTAGCCTGGAAGTCTGGTATCGTTATTTGGGATTATATCGAAAACCCTAACAAATTTGTTGATATTTGGTATTAACGAATACACGTATTGTTTCATGGGATTGTGATTGAATTTCCAATATTTTTTAGTATTAGGGATTACGATATTGAGATCCGTATATACCAAAATATCGATCAATACTGACATATAAGCTAGTGTGTATTTTATCTCTCACACAGCTTGGCACCCTCACTCAATACTACTTAACAACTCATGTCAAACTCATTTTGTTACTTGTCGTATATATATGGCTTGCTTAGTCATCCATTGTTTTAGTTTGTTGCTTTAGTTTGCTAATGTGCATCTTAGGCACCACATTTTTTAAGTTTATTGTTATTTGCTTGAGACTTTTTACCATTTATTTTGCACGACATTTTAATATATTTTGAGAATGATTTGTGGAGTAGCTGTTAGAAGAGAAGTATTTGCATTGCATATTTGATTTGTAATGTTGAAGGGTATTAATTTCGTATTTGGTATATACAGATATCGGACAAAATATTAGGAATTGAGATTGGGATACCGAATTTATTTTGAGATCGAGTTTATGTCTGGTATTCATTATTCTGGTGTTTCATATTAGTATACCAATATCGTACCACTTTAACCTCTAATTGTATTCCATGAGAAATTTAGATTTTTTACTACTCTTGGCCTGAAGTTACTATCATATCAACAAGATGGGAGGGTTGAACGTGAATTAAACTAATTAACACGAAATAAACAAGACCAACTACAAACAGGATCACTAGAGGTAGTTTGTTGCTTAGCGCTAGGGGTGGACATCGGTCCGGTCCGGACCGGATCAGACCAAACTCAGGAGAACCACAATTCAATAGTGAAAGATATCTTATGATCAAGGAGCGGACCAATATTGCATTCAGTCCGCTTTGGTCCATTTGGTCCGGTCCAAACGTAAATTCGGTTCATTTTTTCAGTATTTTTAAAATTCATAGGACCAAGGATCGGACCATATTATATTTGATTCGGTGTGATCCGGTTCAAACAATGATTCGGTTCGGTGTGGTCCGATATGGACCAACCCATTGCCCAGCTCTATTTAGCACCGAATCCCTCTAGCTAGGGGTGGAAATCGGTATGGTATCGGTATCCCAAAACCAAACACCAAAATACCGAATACCGATTTACATCCTAAAATCAATCTCAATCCCAATCCCTAAATATTTCGATATCCCGATCGGTACTTCGGTATCTCAATCGGTATTATCGAATACAAAATTAATTACTTTTGCAATCAATAATTAAATATATAAATTAAATTTTATTGTTTAATTTATGGCAAAGAGACTAAGCAAAGATTCTTGAGTTTTCCTAGAGCTAGGATATGGATAAGGAGAATGGAGGAGAGGTGACATCTCAAGTTCTTGTCATTGGTAATCTTTAATCTGACGAATTTGAGGTTGCGAGATGACTAATGCCAATGTTTGATTTTTGGTGTTATGAAAATAACAAAAGATTAGAGTGACTTAAATTGTACAGTCAAATTTGAGTTGAATGAGAACTTCTAAGTCGTGAAATAGTGATGGAATGATCTATGTATAATTAAATTACACTCTTGGTGGTTGAGGGTCGTGTAGTAGTGAATGAGAGAGTCTAGTTGAGTGGATAAAATACACACTAGCTTATATTTCGGTATTTTGGTATATACCGATCCCAATCCCATAATCCCCAATACCAAATAACAATTGAAATTTAATCCTAATCTCAATCCCAAGAAATAATACGTGTTTTCGGTAATACCAAAAATAGACAATTCGGTACGGTATTCGGTATATCCCAAATACCGGTACCAAACTTCCAACCCTACCTCTAGCAATAAGTTGACATGAGTTATGTTGATGCAAATCAATGAAGGCTTCTATATCTTCAAAATTGCAAGGAATCACCTATACTAAAACTTAAGTCAATGGTCATATACTTAATTACTCTTCTAGGTAGATAGGCTGGCTCAATAGTCATGTAACCAAGTAGATACATATATCATTAGCTTCATACTCCCTAGTATAAAGCTAATGAGGCTAAAACTCAATGTTTATGCAATTATAACCTCACTGTATTGATTGGTGTTATAATCTTCACGTAATTGGATGGTCTCTCTCTTAGGTCAAGATCACAGAAATCCAAGTACTCAACAAAAGCATAAGGAAATCATGATAAACTATCAATATCCATATGTGTATTGGGTTGGGTTACCCAAATAGACTCATATATATGATTAATAATTTTGTGTATGGGTATGGGTGAACCCATTTGGGTTCAACCCAAATGGGTTGATATAATTATACATACAAAACAAAAATATTTACCATTTAACTATTTGCCTTAACCAATTCACACCTTTAAAATGTTAGTTTTTTCACATTTAAAAATCACATTAGAGGTGGGTATTCATTTTCTTTTGGGTAGTCAATGCAATGGGTCTAAAATACACCCAAACTAAATGGTTGAGTCTGGGTATGACCCACAAGTGATATTCTTCAAACTTGATTAGACTCAGAATGAGTTGGCCATGGAGAATACCCAAATTTTGAGTCCATTTTCTCATCTTTATGTCTAATACATTATATATACATAATTAATACTTTGCATAATCACTCAAGAGTCTAGCTTTCCTCCCTTTTAGATCCATGAAAAAAGTTAGAGTTCACTATTGTTCCTAAACTAAATTTATTTTTTAGAGCATAGACAACAATTGTTATCTTTTGTTCATTCTATAAATTATGATTGATGCATTAACATGATATGTTTCACATAATAATAATGTTATATTATATTGGGTTAACCTCGTTAACCATTTATCCAAACTGATTAAATATTAGTTTGATTAATTTAGTTGTTGTATTAGTTTGGTCGCTTTGGTTATGATATTGTATTCCATGATTAATATAGTTTAGACTTATTTGGGTTGGTAATGAACATGGTAACCATTTGAACACCCTTATACAAGTATAGGTTCAATATTTGATTGTTTAATTAGATTGCCAATGTTATATACTTTTGTTTATGGCTCCACAGGCCCACACTTAATTAAGTGTTATCCTTACTTTTCTGCTCTTTATTAGATAGTTGATGGCATGAAGCAAAAGCATGCATTTGCTAGCTAAAGTTCCTCTTGCATGTGGTGAAATTTTGGTTTGGAATGTTTTAGTAGAAGGGATAGGGTTGTGCAATAGATGAATAATCGAGATGCATGGTGTAACTGAGAATTGAGATGCATGTTTATATAGACCGATCATCCTTTCTATTCAATAATGTATTTTACTTTTTTGCTTTTTACTTTTAATTGCCTATAGAAAATAGAAAATAATCTAAACATATCTATCTTTCTTTGCTTCTTTTAGTCAAGATATGAGTGGTTAGACGTAAGTAGTTCTACATTAGAAGGCCTTGTGGAATATGAGCCTATACATTTCTAGGATTTATAACTTTATTGTATTTTATCTGCATTGATAAAACTACTACACGAAATGCACATCAAGGTGTTGGGTGATTCATTGTGTCCGGGAGTAAATGAATCTTTGGAATAAAAGTGCTTGGAGCGTGGTCCACTCTCCAATTTAAGTACATTGTCCTTTACATTTCCACGCTCAACTTGTTGTGAATCACTAGTCTTTGTGATGGTGTGTGGTCTAGGGAAGCTAGTGCAGTGATTATGAAAGATGTCCTCGTCATGAGACGTCAAACACTCGAAATGTCTAGATGCAGTATCTAGTTTGATTTCTTGTAAAGTGTTAAAATCCACCTAGGAGTCTATTTGGTTTGGAAAGTCTTAAGTGGGTTGAATCTATTTCTAACAATGAAAAATCTTGCCTAACAATCAAAATGGAAATATAATTGCCTAACAAATAAAATGAGGAGGTATGCCAACGTGTGAGGCAATGACTCACTGCAAAGAATGCTAGGAAAGGTTCAATGAGAACTAGATGGTTGAATGTACGATGTTTCTTGTTGAGTACTTCCCACCAACAAGTAAAGTCTCATTTGAGAATTGTGCT